TTCCAACCTAATGATACCTTTTGGAAAGTCAGACAAAACCTATAGCTATCCTTACAGTAATATTTAAAAATTTCTATTTTATTTTGAGCTCCAGAAGAGATGATAAATTGTGTGTTACAAATTCATATATCAAGTTGATAGTAGAATAACAGCCTTTAACTAGATACATATTAATGTCTTTAGTGAGAAGTTTGAATTTGTAGGTGATAACAGCAGGCAGGAATACCATGCCGATACTCGGCTAGTGAGGTGGAAACAGCCGTCCGAGGGTCTGAGGGCTGGTGGCAGAAACCACTTGGGAACAGGGTGCCCTGCGTTCCAGGTGTGTCTGTGTCACATAAGCAAACTCCTTAAACTTTTCAATTTTAGCCTCTTATCTGTAAAATTGGTAAAATAGTAGTTCTTACTATTTTAGAAGTTCAACAATCAAAGAATTGTAAGGATTAGAGATAATCTATATAAAGCATTGACATATAATAATTACTCATTATATAACAATTATTACTTGCTTCTGTAAGTTAGGTTAGTGCCTCAAGTCTAGCATACTACACATTTCCCTTTTGAAAACTGTTGCTTGGTTTTTATTAAATTGCAAAAAGCCTAAAATAGGTTAAGTGGTTATTTTATTCAGTGCTAAATTTGGTTATGCCATCTCACATAAATAATGTATGAGGTAAGTGTGTAGAGTCTTTGACACAGTATTTGACCCATTGATCTACTGCAAATGCAGAGATGAAATGCGCTGGTCAGTTCCTTGGGAAAAAAGAAATCAAACTAGTTTGACATCATGGAGGCCTTTGAAGCCTGTCATTTTAGTGTCATAGAGAATGAAAAGATGCAGTTCTCTGGTTGGTTTGCTCATTCAGCATGCATTTACTGAGTCTGGATGTCATGTGCTAGATACATTTAGTTGCTGGTGATGTCGATATAAAAACAGTTGTTGTCTTGATGGAGTTTATCATCTCATAGAGGAAGTCAGACATGTACAAGTCCAGTGGAGTTTATGTGCTTTAATAAGGTTGTACGTGGGACCCTCTGCAGGATGCTGTGAGGCCTGCAGGGACATTGTGAGCAGAAGCAAACTGGGCCAGCATGAATAAAGACAGAGGCTTAAATCATCCTCATGTAGTGAAGGAACTAAAGTTAGATCTGGCTGGAACGCATGGAGACTGGACTGTGAGAACGGAGGCTTAAGTAGGAATCCGGGGGCAGCTGGTGGAGAGCCTTCTTTGCCCTCCTGAATCTTAACTTTATCTTGGTCAAGTTTACTTTGTATTGGATCATTCTGGCAAGAAGTATGGAGATGATGTGGAGAGAAATGAGCATGGAAGCAGAAAGGCCAGGTGGGAGTTTTATAAAAGTTCTTATGAACAAAGTTGAGAAAATAAGAATCTGAGCTAGTGTATGTCAAGGTTTGGTGCTCAAATCACCAGAATAATTTATAAATAATGCAGATTCCCAGGCCATTGCCTCAGTGATCTGATTCAGGAGTTCTGTAGTTTGAGAACCAAACTAAAAATTTGTATTGGTGTAGTTGACAGGGCTTGGTGACTGCCTAGGTACTGGTATAGGGTGTGAGAAAGGAGGATAGTTAGAGGATGACTTCCAGGTCTTTGTTATTGTGAAGTTTCAGAAATGATGCATTTTAGGTGATGTCAAGGGAACATCTAAGTCATGGCCCTGGATGCATATATGAGGATGGAGGAGATAAGGGGTAGGTGAGGCTAGATAAAGGGTGGGCTAATTAGCCAGTTGGGAAGTTACCCAGAAGTTTATGTGGAGAGGATAAGTGTGAACCAGTTTCCAAAGTCTTCAGTAAGTGAGCGGCAGTGTCTGAGGTCAGTAGAGACAGTAACAAGGAGGAGAGGAGGGTAGTAGAGCCAGCGCTTCTCAAACTTTAACATACTTGTGAATCGTTTGAGGATCTTGTTAAAACGGAGATTTTGATTTTGTGGGTTTAGAATGGGACCCTATGTTTCTAACAGTCTTTTAGGTGATGCTAACATTGCTGGACCTGGACTCCGCTTCAAATAGCAAAGATGCAGGTCTCTGGTTCTCAAACTTAGGTGCACCTCATACTTTCCTGGTTGTCTTATATTTGGGTCCCTCACCCAAAGATTCTGGTCTAATTGGTATGGAGTATGATCTAGACCTCAGAATCTTTAAAATCTCAGGTGTTTCTAGGGTAGGAGAAGATTTCAGAGCCAGTGATACAGGCTGATGAGGCCAAGGGGTGAGGGGTGTCATTGCACAAAAGTGGCAATGTGAAGCAGGGAAAGCTGGTCCCACCGTGGGTCTCCTGGCACAAGACACTGGGGAGAAAGGCCGCAGAACCCTGCATTTGGGAAGAACCTGGGTTCAGCTGCAACAAAGAGTAGGAGAATGCAAACAAAGGGTGGGTGGGAGAATGTGAGGGGCTGCTGTTTGGGTGGTGGTGAGGAGGACAGGGGTGAGAAACACAAATGGATTGATTTCTCCAGGTGACAAGGCTGGCTTTAAAGGCCCAGTGGTGGCCACGGGCAGCAGTCTTTGCTGGGCTTTCCACGGGGAATGTTACTGAGCAGGTATCCTGTGTCCTGAGCGTGTCCAGGAAGGGGCGAGCTGGCTATTCCTTTTTTTTTTTTTTTTTTTAATGGCCTCTGGATTTGTATCCTGTGTCTCGACAGGAGGAAACTAGAGTGGCCTGGACATCCAGTGCTCGCTCCCCAGGGACTGGTTATTAATAACTGCTGGGTACCTGCTTGTGTATGAAGTAATCTGTTGTTATTTTTTCCTCCAGATATTATAATAAAAATGGCAGACCGTAACAGCTGTGGCTGAGTTTTCACTACTTTGAAGACATGACTGTGAAGTCCACAAGGCAATGTGTCTGCCTGAAATTATATGAAATTAAAAATTCTGCAGTTATTTGTGTTCTATATCTGTGTTGAAATTCTACTGAAGTTCTTGTCATTTACTTTTAATCACTTAAGAAACATTTTTCCATATGCTTCTTAAGTATATGTATTTATGTTATAAAATAAGAACCAAATAGCTGATATTAGAAGACTGCACACTAAAGTAGATGGTTTTAGCCACTTATAAAGAACCAACACCACAAAGTACAATGTAACTTCCTCTGATTGTTTCCCGTCCCCCGAGTTTATCCTTTGTATGGATTAAAAGTAGTAAAGTTGTTGAAGTTCTAAAAATGAAAATGCTTATGAGCTATTTTTAACAGAACTTAATTGAAACCACATGAGTGAGAGACCTAATTTCAGGTCTGACTGAAAGAAACTCTATACTCAAGGTTTGCTGAAGCAGGGAATGTACAATATGTACAATCAATCATATACTGAGTATTTAATGTATTACATCATCCCCAAACAAACTTTTTTAGCTAATACTCTTTATTATTTTTTCTGGTAATGTTACTTGCAGCATCTTGACAATGCCCTTCTTAAAAAGCAGCAATCCTGTGTAGTGAACAGAGTACAGTTATATGACTGTTGGTGAGATTTAAACTTTGATGGTTTACTAATGTTGTACATAAAAGTAAATAGTCAAATTTTCAAAGCTGCTTCTGTAGTAAGGAAAATTATAGAATCTATGAATTAATTTGAGGTTAAATAAGCTATATAGTATTCATTTTTAACTAGGAGTCCCTGTGAAGATATTCTTGTAAGTGATCTGACAAGGCCTTAAGCCACTAATGAAGCTGTTGATGATTCTGTGATTTTATTTCTAGGTGAAATATGAAAAAGTTGTGAGGAAATGTAGAAGAGAACATTAATGATGGAGGCCAGAACAAAATTTAGACCTCTATTCTAAATCAATGCTTAATTAAGCAACTCTTGTGTTGGTTTTAAAAGCAGAAATGTGATAAGCAGTGGGGAAATAAGGAATGAAATAGAAGGCCTATTCTCTGCATTCAAGGAATTTATAATCCAAGGGGGAGGGGAGATAATGAGAATGAGTTGATAGTTTCTAATCAGGTGATAGTTCTTGTGAGGAAGAATGATACCTGATTCTTGGATCGCGCCTGGTGCGGTTGGAGGAAATGAACATTTGATATTAATAGTTTCAGAGTGCCGATAAGGAAAATACAGCTAGCTCAGAGAGGTAGTACTTGGCCAGTGTGATGTAATTTAGAAAGTGATGGAGCCAGGATTTGAAGGCAGGAGTATTTGAGTCCAGTATTTCTGTTTTATAGATGGGAGCACAGGGAGGAAGGAGATGGAACTGGCATTCAAGGCTTAGGAGTGGAGGAGGACATAATTTCAAGTATGACTAAGTGGAAGGAAAGTAGAAGCAGCCAGCTGGCTTGCAGACATGAGAAATTCAAGGAGGAATCCTATCGGCAAGTCCTAGGAGAAGTTTGTACACTTACCCTTGTATCTGTGGGCAGGCCTCATAGGTCTTTCCGTGAATCTTCTGGAAGAACATGAAGAAAGGAGTTCATCTCTTTCCGGAGAGAGTCTCATAGTTTTCATCACCTTTTCAAAGTGGTCTGTGGTCTAAAAAAAGTTAATGAAACTGGACCATTTTATTAAATACTTCGGTATATAACTAATTAAACTTTTTTTTTTTTTTTTTTTGAGACAGTCTTGCTCTGTAGCCCAGGCTGGAGTGTAGTGGCATCATCATAGCTCACTGTAGCCCCAAACTCCTGGGCTCAAGTGATCCTCCTGCCTCAGCCTCCCAAGTAGCTGGAACTACAGGCGTGTGCCACCATGCACAGCTGATTGTTAAATTTTTTGTGACACAGGGTCTCGCTGTGTTGCCCAGGCTGGTCTCAAACTCCCGCCTCAGCCTTCCAAAGTGCCAGGATTATAGGGGTGAGCAACAGTGCCCAGCCTAAACTTTATTCTTAAGCACTTAAAATTATATTTTCAAATCATACATTATAAAATAATCTCAGGTTGTAAGTACCAAAAAAGTCTGGTTAAGAATGCATGAAAGGTATGATGTCATTTTCATTTTTAAATTTTTAACTAGAGTGAATTTTTTAACCTCTCCAAGGTGTCATTCATCGTGGTTCAGTTATGAATAAACAGTTCAGCCTCTTTATGTTGTGTATATATCATATATATTTATATAAAGGGTGTGATGTCCAGATTTTCCAGATAAAAGTTCTCTTCAAACTCTCCTGCTAGAGCTCTTGCTTTCTAACCTGCATTTAAAAATGTTTACTCTTCTTACATCTTAAATCCTGCCTTGACTCCATAGGTTTTTGCCGACCCATCATTATTCACCCATTTGCATTCATGTTTCGTAAAAAGAGTGTTTTCTGTATCTCACTGATCCCTTACCCCATGCTCCTCTCCACCAACACACACACACACATGGAGTCTGGCTTCAGTTTTGGTTCTCCACTGACACTGTTCCCCTCACGTCTAACAGCAACCTTCCTGACGCTAATCTAAAGACTAATTTTTGGTTCTCATCTTACCCACCTTCTCCCAGCTATGATGTTGCAGACTAGGACTCTCTTTCTGAAAGCCTCCAATAAAGAAGGACCTCTCTGAAACATTACTCTCCAGGCTTTCATCTCATCTCTAGCCCTCTCCCACTTCTTCTGAAGGCTCTGTTTCCTCTGCCCAATCTTTAAGTTTTTGTGTTTCCTTGGGTTGTGTCCTAGGGCCTCTTCTCATGCAACACACTCACTCAGGGTGATCTCATCTACCCATGGCTTTAGCTACCATCTCTGTGCAGTCAACACCAAGCGTTTGTCTCTAACTGCCATAGATGTCGGTAATTAGATGTGTGGTGACTTCCCCTGCGTCTGTACAATTACTCTCTAACTCCATCCTAAGTGGGTTTTCAACTTCCAAGCCATAGGATTTAGGTGGGATTGATTCTACCCGTAGTTCCGGGGTAGGACTTTAATGGCTTAAGTCAATTAACATTAGCTCCCCCCACCCCGCCGCCCAGCTCCGGCACAGGGATCGGTTCAGGCATGGGCCCAAGGCCTAAAATGTCCTATTGGATTAAATATCAGAATGCCCAGACATAGGCTTTTTCCTTCTTTTCTTGGAGTTTTACCTGAAAGGATATATTGTGGAAGCTGAGCCGTCTTGTGTCAACAGTTGGAGGCCCTGCCTGGGACAAGTCTACACAGAGCACTTAGAGATGGGATGAAGAAACTGAATTCTTGATATTATTGTTGCAGTCCCTGGATAAAGCTATGCCTGAACAGATCATCTGCTTTTAGGTCCAGTTATGAGAGCTAATTAGTTTCATTCTTTGCTCATGCTAGTTTAGTTTGGGTTTTCTATCGTGTGCAACATAGAACATCCTAATAATCAAGATCTTCATGGTGCTGCCTACATCGTAGCGTTTATCACAATGTACTATAATTGCCTGTCAGATTCTGTTTTTTTCTCCCTAGACTATAAGCTCCTTGAGTGCAGAAACTATTTACTGTATTTCCAGGTTGTAGCACAGCTGAAAGACACATATTAAGTTTTGAAAAATATTTGTTCAAAGAGTGTTTGTCATAGAAGTGTACCCTTACATAAAGGACCTTCTTGTGTACACTTCTAATAGAATTCAAGGTGAAGATTTCCAAGCCAATTTATTTTATATTTAAGGTAAAAGCTTTATTCCCTAAAATAACGTACTACATTCAGTAATAACTTGTTTGTTTGTTACTTGTTTCTTAAGGGCAGGGGCTGTACCTGTCTTGTTTGTATTGTATTCTTAGCACCTGTAACATAGTAGGTGCTTATTTTCACCATCTCTATTAGATTATTTCTATTACATACAAATTTCTTTAAAATCTCCCATCTGAAAACCAATTTTCCCTCCTCTCTGCTCCTCATCACTGCAAAACAGAGGAGTTGTCTACATTTGCTTTACCGCTTCTTTGTCCTTTCTTTTTTGAACCCACCCTGTTAAAGTTTTTGCACACATTTCTCCGTTGAAACTGTTCTTGTCAAGATGTCCATGTTGACAGAGCTAGTGAACACTTATATTTTCAGCAACATTCAATAGCTGACCCATTCCTCCTTTTGGGGACATTTTATTCTCTTGTTTTACTGCTGCTCCTTTTCATTCTGTGTTGGATCCTTCTCTTCTAGACCTGTAAGTGTTGTCCTCTTTGGGTCTTAGTCCTGCACCCTCTTCTGTATATATACGGTCTCTCTAGGTAAAGTTATCCATTACATTATTTTAAGTTCTGCCTATGAGCTGATGCCTGCCAAATTTCTCTCTCCAATCCTGCTTATCCCCATATATTCTACTCAGAATCTCCACATGGATGTCTAATAGGCAGTTCAAACTTAATATGTCCAAACAATATGCTTGGTTTACGTCTTCAAATCTGTGCTTTGCCTGGTCTCTTCTTAAGGAAATGACTTCCACTTAGTTGCTCTAGGCAAAAACCTAGGCGTCATTCTTTATTTTTTTTTTCTTTCCTTCTCCTATTAGAAGTTCTTTCAGCTTTATCTCTAAAAACTCCAGATAGCCACCATCAGTTCTCCTCTAAAATACAGGTAACCACCTGTTTGGTTTCTCGGCTTCCATTCTTCTCTTCTAAAATCTGTTCCACAGAACAGGCAGAGTAAAATCATATATTGGCTCATGCATGTTTTAAACTCCTCCAGTCGCTCCCAGCACACTTAATCCAACCTTCTTTCCGTGATGTACAAGGTCCTGCACAATCTGGCGCCTTGTATTTTTCTGCCCACACCTCAAAGCATCTTTCCCTCCCAGAGTGTACTTCACTTCCTCTGTCCTCCTTTCTCCTCTTCAAACAGGCCAAACCCATTCCTGCCTCAGGGACTTTGTACTTTTTCTTCTCTCTGAGAAAATGTTTTTCATCGACTTCTTCCCCTAGCTGCTTCCTTTTCATTCTTTCAAACTCAGCTCAAATCTCACATCTTCACAGAGGCCTTCCCTGACTACCCTATCCAAATCTGGTCTCCTTCAGTTGCTGGCTACCAACCGTTTCCGTCCCAGCTCCTACCACAGCTTGCAGACTATCTTGTTCACTTTGTCTCTTCTCACTAAGAAAGAACTAAGTTCCTGAGGACAGGGACTCGCTTGTTCAGCACTGTATCCCCAGGGCCAAGCATGGAGTCTGAGACCACGGAGGGACTCAGGATATACTTGTTGAATAAATCTGTTTATGTTTTGTAGTGCTTTAAAATACTGCTATTTCCTTATTACACAGCAATAAGTAGTTGGTTTAAGAGTTTTAAAAACTGAGGTAACTTGACTCCATCTAAGTGTTATTTAGGCAGTTTTACTTGATCATCTTGATTTTGAATGTCTTGTTCTGAGACATTATCAATCAAATTATAATTTGTTTCAGGATAATTCACAATTGAGGCCGCACTTACTAGCATGGTGGTTAAAGGAGCAAGATTGCAGTTTTATTGCCACCTTTTCCTCTATCTGGTAACCAGAAAATTGCTATAATCAAGAGTGCCCCTGTCTTCTATGCTATCAGGAGGGTAATATTGGAAGCAGGTAGATAGAAACCCATAGACTGCTGGGGTTTGGGGAAGACTGAATCTTCTCCTGAGTGACAGTGTGGGCCGTATGTCTAATCTTTCTAACCCAGTTCCACATTCATATATTGTGGCAGTAATAAATAGATGGCAATTATTTTCTTTCTCACATTTCCTCCTTGCCAACTCCCTAAACTTACAGAGGCTGCTTGTGGGACAACTCAGCTTCTCTGGGAGAAGAGGTAGTACTAAGTAAAAGGGGGGAAAAAAGATAATATACACTGATACCAGACTTGAAAATATTTAAGATTTAATCTGCATAGTTAAGTATAGCTATATCCTCTTTTATTACAACATATATCATTTCAGTGCTCTCTGATTCTGTGATTTTAGTAGTATGCTGAAACATAGGGGAAATGTGATGAATGATAGGAAGTAAATTTAGTTTTCTCTATACATTTCAAGTATAAGACTAAATGAGACTACAGAAATGAAGCTATTACATGATGAGAATACTAAAATAAAGCATCTCTTATGCAAGCAGTGATGTTCTTTCCCTTACTATTAATATCTATAATTACCCATGAAGTAATTTTTCCCAAGATGAAAGCACACAAGGTTATTGTATTTGGAAACTTCCTTCTGAGGGGACCTGGAACCACTCTTCTGTGTGTCAGTCATGGACATCCTTTAGTCCTCAGTGTCTCTGGTCCCATAGAGACAGACTTGAGCCTGTTTCCACTGGCACGCATTTAGTGTAACTTGCTAGTGTAAAAACAAAACTTCCTCAAATGATTGATTCATTGACTGATAGGATGTGCACTTGTTTACTTTTTAAAAATTGCACTGACTTCATTTTTTGTTTATAAAAATTTCATTCCACATTCAAACATTTGTGAGAAAAACATACATAGCTCATTTTACCCTATTAGAGATCTCTCAGCATTTGGTGCCAGAGTGCAGAGGACTATCTGAAATGTGCAGGTGATGCAGTCCTGCTATTTTGAGCCTGTATTGCCCAGTAACTTCTGGAGCTTGGGCAATGTACAGAGAAACTTTGAATTTTAACTTAAGCACCTTATGTTACCTCCTTAGAGAGACCTCCAGGCCCTTCTTTCCTAATTGTTACTTTAGTAAAATTACTACTTAACAACACCGGTCACTATGTGAAATTACCTTATTTACTTTTTTTTACTGTCTCTTCACCTAGAAAGTAAGCTCTGTCTTTCTTGTTTACTCTGGATCCCCAGGAGAACTTCATTCATTTGTGGAATGAATACATTAATATCTTAGCTGTGGAACTCTATGTTGGCCACTGGCAAATTCTTAAAGATATAAATTCCGCCTATTACTTTTTTTATATGTTAGGACCACTTATTTACAGCTTAAACTGTAAACTTAGCTGTAAATCAGTGGAGCTGGTAGCCACTTAAAGAAAATTTGATTTGTATGCCTAGTTAAATTCTCATTTTTGTCTAGCCTTCCAATCATACACCACTTATTTCCTGACATCCACGTTTCTCAGAGAATTGCATCCCATTGTACGAACTTCCTCGTTCTGGAGGGGAAGAGGGTGAGTGGATGGGGGCGGTAAAAATTTTTAAGAGTAGTTGGACATATTTTGGCTCCGTGGGTTTAATGAGACTGTAAAGTCATTTACGAGCAGTGTTTTTCTTTAGAAAGTATTTCCCCCATCCTTGGGTTACAGTTCCACAGTTCTTCCCTTCCTCATACCTAGATATTAAGATAGACTATTGCAATTCTAAATAATTAACGTGAAGGGTTAGATATTTGTACGCATATGCGTGTCCAGGCTTCCTCGCTTCGTTGGTTTCACTTCTGAGTTTGCTGGTTACCAAGGAAACTGAGCCTAACTCCTGGGCTTCCACTCCCTGGCTCCTCCCGGACTCGGATTCCCGGTGCCAGGGTGGAGGCGACGGTGGAAACTCCGAGGAGCGCTGCCCGCGGCCGCAGCCGGGCTCTGGGCAGGATCGTCCCCCGGTCCCGCGAGCCGGGCTCCGCGCTGCCAGCTCCGATCCCAACCGCTCGCGGCCACGGGCGGGCTGGGGGCTCGGGCTCCAAGGCCGCCCGGCCCAGCCCCGCGGGCACGCCCGCGCGCTGCCTCCGCTCCGGGGCCAGCTGCAGGTGCGGAGCCGCGCAAGCCGGGGAGGGTCGGCGGGGAGTCGGCTGTCCGTGGTGCCCGGCGCACCTGTCTTCGTCGTGGGCGCGGGGAGGCACAGGCTTCTTCACCCGAAGGGCCCCAGCGTCGTCCCCGCGTCACCCTGCCGTAGCGCGCACAGCCGCACCGGGAAGCAGCGGGGGCACCTGAGCACCTTCCCCTCACGCGGCTCCAGTCACCTTCCCGTCCTCGGCCCTCGGCCCACGCCCCGCCCCGCGAGCTGCCACGTGACGGGATCCACCAGCGGCCTATGAGCGCCGGCTCCGCCCCACGCCCCCGCCTTGCCCCCAGCTCCGCGCGGCGCCACGTGATGCGGCTCCCCGCCAGCCAATGAGCGCCGGCCTGGCCTTGCGCCCCGCCCCGCGCGCCGTGGCCGTTTGAAGTGACTAATTTCTGTCATATGACTGAGGCACCCATGGGGGTGGCGGGGCGGCTCTAGCAGTGGGGGCCTAGCGAGCGCCCAGCGACACGACCCTGGCCTGGCGGCGGCCAGCATGGCCCCTACGCTGTTCCAGAAGCTCTTCAGCAAGCGGAGCGGGCTGGGCGCGCCCGGCCGGGACGCCCGGGACCCGGACTGCGTGTTCAGGTGCGGCGCCGCGGGCTGGGGGCGCGGGCCCGACGGCCTGTGGGCTTCGGGCTCCAGTGGCGCTGGGGCCTTCGGCGCCCAGGCCCGCGGGGCGTCGCCGCGCCGGGACCGGCACCGGGGGCGCGGAGCGGGCGGCGGAGTCGCGCCGGAGGGTGGGAGCCAGGTCCTCGCCCCCCGCCCCGCGCCGCTGCCGCTTCCCCCTCCTCGGGCTGGTTTGTTTACGTCCTTCCGCGGCCACGCGCGCTCTGCCTCCCCGACCCGGCCCCGCGGCCCGAGGCTGTGGGTCCACACGCCTCCTGGCACCGAGCAGAACCGGGCGCGGGCTGGGGTGGACCTCGGCCGCCGTCCTTCGAGCCAGCTCCCCCTCCTCCCCGCGACCAGTCGTCCTCGGGCGCTCGGTGCCAGCGCGGTCGGGAGCCTTCGAGTGCGGGGAGGGCGGGGAGCGAGCGGCCAGGTGCGTTCCGCCGGGGTTCCCGGACACTCGCATTGGGGGTGTGCGGTCACCCGACCGCGCGACCTTAGTGTTACCGAAGGAGAAATGTGACACCCAAGAGGTTAGAATGATAGCGACCAGAGCGAGGCAGGAGTCAGATGAAGTCTGGCGTTAGAATTGGCCTAGAATCTTCCTCCCCAGACCTGTGACCGAAAAAGTCTCTAAAAAGTGAAAATGGTAGCAAAATATTTTGTGGTGTTACAGGCTTTCTTAATTTTTCGTGATAGCACCTGTTGCCGGTAGAGTAACTTTTTGGAACGGTAAGGTTTGGTGGAAACCTGGACTCAAGGTAAGATTTGGTCGTGAAAACTGCACGTGAGCAGAGATGATGTGCCTTCCGCACGGCCTTCGTGCTGCGGTGGGGAAGCACGAAAACGCAATTAGGCGAAATGTCAAATACCGCTCACACTTGGTAGGATAGCAGAGAAACCGGTTGTGTAACAGTGGGGAAAAAATGAGAATCTGTCAAATTTTGCAATAGGCAAACGTGTGAAATGATTGTGCCATGCTGGTTTAAAAGGTTTGGATACTCTCAAAATTACTCGCCCTCTCTCGCTAATCAGGTCACATCAGGAAACATGCAGTAAATACCTGTGAAATTGGAGTATAAATGGAAAGAAATTTAAGTGACTTTTAGGGGAAGAAAAATTTCAGTTGTGAACATCTTGGAAAAGTGCTTAGTAAAAGACAGTTTTCTAGGTATTGGTTTTTTCTGCTGGGAAATGTGCCATGCTCACTTGACTTTCTTTAAATATTTCTTTAGTGTTTTTCCTTTGAAAAATGAAAGTGCAGCTTAGATAGTACTACACTGAGTCATCTAGTAACTCAGGGGGCAGTAGGAAGCAGGTTCTGGAGGGATATTTAAAAGGCGACACTTGATAGGCAACTGCTTTCTACTTCTGAGCAAAGATTGACTTTAGGTATCCAAGTTTACAGGGTCTCAAGTCACTTAAGCGAGAAAGCATTTTCATGTGTATTTTTTTAAATGTAAAGTCTACTGTATAATTGTGTAATGCTGCTTTACAGTGGCCAAAGAACTTTCTCATTAGTTATCTCATTTGATGTTTCCCAACCACCTTTTGAGATAGGGCAAGTAGCAGTATAGATAACTATGTAATCCTTTTTCCAGTGGAAGTAAGAATTGTGTGTAAGCCCAATAACTGCAGTACATTATAGAATTGATTGCTTTAAAAATAAAATGTGTACACGTTAGAAAATGAAAGCTCTGTTTTCATTGCTTTCTTTCTTTCTTTTCTTCTTTTTTTTTGGTTTTGTTTTGTTCAAGTCAGCTTAAGTTGTTAAATCAGACTTGGCTTGGCTGGCACAGTTAGCTGTTGGCAACTAACTGTAGCTCAGTCTCTAAGAGTCAGTTCCTAGAATAACCAACGTACAAGGCCCAGTGGTGATAAGCCACAGTAGGACTGTAGGATGGGAGAGACTTGTGATAAAGAAGGCTTAGGAGCCTTTCAATATTGTCTTTCATGGTTACTCTGTTGGAAAAGATGGCCAGGGACCACCCCCTTCCTTTCAGTCTTCACTCTTAGGACCCTTACCATGTAGATATCTGCCTAATCTAAGTTTCTTGAGCTGAGATGAGTTTGAAGGATTTTGCAGGGAGGATATTTTTTCAGTCATTTATAGAATTTGTACAGTGATTTGTTTTCGCCATTTAAAGAATTCGGGAGAGAAGGTGCTTTCTAGGAGAAGATACTGCTTTATGTTTTCTCTATTTTCTTCCCGTGGAATTAAGAATTAAGTATAAGCCCAATAACTGCAGTACATATAGAAATGGTTGCTTTAAAAATAAATTTCTTGTGAAGAAGGTTGTTTTAAAGTGAAATGTGTCTGTAGGACATAATTCATGTTTTGTTCAAAAAACCGGTTTCTCTATTTTTGTTACACAGGTTGAGTATTCCTTCCCCGAAATGCTTGGAACTAGAAATATTTCAGATTTTGAATTTTTTTCGATTTTGGGACCCAAGTCTAAGCATGAAATTCATTTAGTTTCATATACATCTTATACACATAGCCTGAAGGTAATTTTATACAATATTTCTAATAATTTTGTTTATGAAACAAAGTTTTGATTTTGTGACATGAGGTCAGGTGTGAAATTTTCCACTTGTACCATTATGTCAGTGCACAGAAGTTTTTGATTTTTGATTTTCCTATTAGAGATGCTCAACCTGTATTCCAAATGTATGGCAATTTTGTTCTTACTGCCCGTAGTAGGGATTCTTGATCTGTCCTGACAACCTTTTAATTAGTCTTTTTGCCATCCCTCATGCCCTTTTCCAACCTACTCTTAGTGCTTCATACTGTTAAAAAATACAATTTCTGGGCCGGGCGCGGTGGCTCACGCCTGTAATCCTAGCTCTCTGGGAGGCCGAGGCGGGCGGATTGTTTGAGCTCAGGAGTTCGAAACCAGCCTGAGCAAGAGCGAGACCCCGTCTCTACTAAAAATAGAAAGAAATTAATCAGACAACTAAAATATATAGAAAAAAATTAGCCGGGCATGGTGGCGCATGCCTGTAGTCCCAGCTACTCGGGAGGCTGAGGCGGGAGGATCGCTTGAGCCCAGGAGTTTGAGGTTGCTGTGAGCTAGTCTGACGCCACGGCACTCACTCTAGCCCGGGCAAAAGAGTGAGACTCTGTCTCAAAAAAAAAAAAATACAATTTCTGATCATGACCGGTAGACAAAATGGTGTAAGAAATTTAATATGTTCGTTACAGGGTTATTTTAAGAATTTAGAAATAAGTCACGTAAAGTACTTAACGTGGTGCTTAGCACATGGCTTTCAGGAACCAGTTGTTACTACGATGACATCACTCTTTTGTGTAAAACCATTTAGTTTGGGCCCAGACTCCTTAACGTGTGGCTTTTACCAATTCTGTATGGTGTGGCTTTTGCCAATTCTGTGTGGTGTGGCTTTTGCCAATTCTCTAGCCTTGACTTTTTTTTTCTTTCCATAAGGTCATTTTTAAAAATCATAGCCACTGTGCTATTACTATACTTAACAGAAATTCCTTAATATAAGCTATTCTTAGTCCATATTCAAATTTTCTCAGTTGTCTCAAGATGCCTTTTAACAGTAGGTTTGTTAGTCTTAAGAATCTATATATTGCATTTACAGTTATATAGCTTGAGTAATTTTTTCTATAACAGCTCCCCCCACCCCATGTGAAATTTCCTACATTCTGTATTTGGCTTTTGCTTTTTTATGGTTTCCTTTAATTCACTGGTTCCCAGCAATCTGTGTTTTAAAAAGTCCCCTCCAGGCATTTCTGATGCTGAAGTTTGAGAACTGCGCTAACTTATTCCTCTGTTTCCTGTCTTTCCCAAAAAATCAAAAGTCAAGTGCTTTATTAGATTTATGTTCTGGGTTTTTTTTTTTTTTTTGCTTTTTTTAATAAAAGTACTCCATAGATGTTGCTGTGTACGTCTACCTTTCAGAGTTGCACTTCTGGTTGTCCCACTTCTAGTGGTTTCAAGTAGTATCAGCCTTATTCTTCCATTAAAAAATTCCCACTTTGACTAACGGTTTTGGCATCCTTTGTTGATCATTGTCTTGAATTCATTATTTTGTTAGAGTTTACAAAATAGTGATATACCAATCCTCTAATTCTTTCTGCATTTGTTTGATGGAAGACCTTTCACCGATCAACTGTTTGGTTACTGTTGGCTAAAGAAAAGGCAGCATAAAAGTTTGATCATTTCCCTTTATCACTTTCCAGAATAATTGGTAATGAGTTGTTCAATGAAGGTTTTTTAATTATCATCTTTTAGGATCATCATGAGCTCTTGGATTTTAGTGTGTTTTAATCCATTACAGTCAAAGTGTTCCATATTTGGCCAGTGGAAGCCTTTTTAGGTTGACTTCTGTTCCTTTTTGACATGATCTCATTAGTCTTTGAAAACTTTTTTTTGGTATGTGTGTGAGACAGGGTCTTGCTCTGTCACCCAGGCTGGAGCACAGTGCCAGTATCATGGCTCACTGAAGCCTCAAACTCCTGGGCTCAAGTGATCCTCTTGCTTCAGCATCCTGGGTAGCTTGGGACTGCAGGTGTGCTCCAGCATATCCACTGATTTTTAAATTTTTTGTGGAGACAGGGTTTCACTGTGTTGCCCAGGCTAGTCTTGAACTCTTGGACTCAAGTGATCCTCCTGCCTTGACCTCCCAAAGTGCTGGGATTACAGGATTGAGCCACCACTCCTGGCCCAAGTTTTTGATAACCTCTTCTTTCTTCTGGCCATGACTTAATCTGCTCTCCCTCAATGACCATGAGAGTGTAAAAAAACAAAACAAAACAAAACTTTCCTCCTTCTAAGGTTTTGTCACTTTGGATTTATTGAACATTCTGGGATTGCCATGCTGTACTACTCCCTGTTCTTGGCATAGTCTTGCATACCTTTTTGTTTAGCTTTTTGTAGTGATCATCTGGGCTTATTCTAATTATCCCTTCCTTCCAGGAAGCCTTGTCTTATTTCTCCCAGATTGGATTAGAT